TCTTATAATAGCCACGTTATTGCAGTTTAAAGTAGCTTTGGTGGCCATCTTGAATTTTAATTTAGCCTTCAGAGTTTGACAAAGCTTGTTCTCAGCTAATACTATACCAGTTTTCAGCTTTGTATGTCTGAAATGGCTGAATCATAGTCTTATATAAAATAAGCTTTACCAGTTAGCTCTAGCAATCAAAATGTGTTGGGTTAGCTCTCAGCTACCAGCACACCATATTCCAGCTTCGTATGTCTCAAAATGACTGAGGCCATTTGCAATGCATTCCCCTACTCTCTCTTTCAACTGGGCAAGCCCTAATTAGAAATGATAAATGCCTGCATAGTTCAGTTGCAGTTTTTAATAAATTTGGTATAAACTATACACATTATTTTTAGTGTTTATATTAATATGATCTTTTGTTTTGTCCTGAAGTGTAAAAATAAAAATAAATGTTACAATCCACTACATATTAGTTTTATAACATCACCTCCACTGGCCATAAAGGCCCCTCTTTAACAAACTCTAAGTGGCCCACAGGCCACCAGTTGATAATCACAGTTGTAGCACATTTTGCAGCTCAAGACACATTTTATTAGTGAGCCAAGGGTCAGAAGTGGCTTTTTTGACTGTAAAAGTTGCAGACCATAAAGTTTGTGTTTAAGTTTTTGCACCAACACCAATCTGTTTCAGATTATTTGTAAATCTGTTCTGAAACAGTTGAGATCTGCACCRAGATCGCTGTGCAGTAAACAACTATAAAGTAGGCGTCAAATAACAACCCTGAAATGGAATCAGATTGTTTTCCTACTCACACATTCCTCCTGACATCCCCCGGTCTCAGATTCCTTTCAGAAGAGTTTCTGTCTAATTACAAATTCAGTCTTTGTTTTTTCTTCTTTCTCATCTGACTGCAGTTGATTAATGAGTAAATGATAAAAAAACTGATAATCATTACTGTTTAGCAAAGCTACTTTGCCTTGTTCTGTCATTTTAATGCTCACKGTGTGTTGAATTCATTGGTTCCCAGAATTTATTCATAACACACATTTTGCAGAAAGAGGCAGTAAAAAAGGATTACATCACAGCACCTGTTCCTGCACAGTTTATTTTCCCAGCGGGCAAACTGCAATTTAATTCACTGGAGTTTCCTGGAAAGAACCTAGAAGGAAAATGTAGAGTAATTACAGCGACTCCCATTCCCAAATCCTCGAAATGAAAGACATATAAACTGCGAGAATTATTTTCCGTCAGTTTGTGTTCCAAAGTTGTCCAGTTGTTACCATAGAAAAAGTTTTCACACCTGTCCTGTGGGTCTGTGATCATATCCAGACAGGTCCTTGAGGGGATGATTTTATCCTTGGTTCAGGATGAGAAGACCCTCTGTCAGCGTTGTGTGAATGTTCCCATTTTAGAGGGAGTGTCAGGCCACTTTCAGCTGGGAAGCTTCATGTGTCACATAAACAATCAAGGAGGTTATATAGAACAGCTGGAGCGCTCAGAAACCATGTGACCATGTGATCGACTGGTGAAGCTAACGGCTAACGCAAAATGGTCAAGAGTCTGGATTTTCCATTACTGTACATGTTGACAACAGAGCAGAAAGGACTGACAATGTAGAAATCATAAAAACTATTAATAATAATATCAACCCAATTATTATTAATATTTTACAGTTTATATAATCTATTTAGTGTTTTAAATAATGCCAGAAAAGCTGTTTGTTATGGATTTATTAACAGAAGATAAACAGGAAAACATCTCATTTCACAACACAAGTAAGCAGATTTGATCTTATTTAGCTCAATGTGATCTGAGCAGAACATAATGTAAAAGTTTAAAATTAAAATAATCTTATAAAGTCGATATAATCACTGTTAGTTATTGAACTGGTTAGCAGATATTAGCTTGTGAAGCATATATACAGAGTTTAGCACTGTTGAATCGTGCTACAATTGAACACAAACCATTAAATATTACTTTGTCCTCTGATTAATATTTAGACCTACAGAGTGTAAAATAATATTATAAATGTGAGAATTTTTAGGTCTTAGCTAGTGGAGCATTTATACAGAGTTTAGCTCTGTTGAATCATGTTACAATTTAACACAAGCCATTAAATATTACTTTGTCCTCTGATTAATATTTAGACCTACAGAGTGTAAAATAATATTATAAATGTGAGAATTTTTAGTCCTGATGCATCTCAGTAATCCAGGTAAAAAATCAAAAAGAAAAAAATTGTATAGGTCTTCTGGAT